GTGGACGACGCCGTGGCGAGAGAACCAGAAACCTCGGCATATCTTCGATGCCATAGTTTCCATTGGTGAAGCGAGTCCACCATTTTGACATCCAGTTCTTAGAAGGGGTGTTATTACCAAACTGCTGACGCATCCTGGTCGTGGCCTGACGTCTGGAGATGCCCAGGTTGTAGTAGTCCAGCAAACATCGGCGGTGGTGGTGACTATCACTCATCTTCACTGCTTTATTGTGGGAAGAGCAGGAAAGGAAATTTAGAGCTAGCTAGCTCAGAAGATAGCCCATCGCGAGTACTTTCAGTATTGCGAAATCTTATGCAAAATCACAACGCGTTGCGTAACGCGACGCTGTTTACAAATGGCCAACGAACTTTGTGGACACCCTAATACTAAGCCCTAGCTTCATTGCCACGCACATTCTAGTAACGAGAGTGATATGCATCTGGGGATACGCCCCCTCCCAATTCTTGCGCTCTCAAATGATTACTTATTAGGCAAGCTAGAGCTAGATCATAGTCTTTCAAGCTATACTAAACCTGTGTGAGAGATATCCATGGTTGCAGGTTGCCGGCAATGAAGCCCCCTCATGCACTTCATCCCCGAAGGTAGACAGTGCACTCTACTTGAATGCTATCATTTTTGAATAAAATGTAGAACTATTCAGTAGTGAACAGTAAATGAGTCACAAAATCTTGTTCTTCACAATAAGTTTTCACTCGGCTTTAGCATGGTAGATGAGTTGATTACGCTTCTGGATTCTTTCCTTCTCAAGGTAAGCACGTAGCTCAGCCGGTGTTGCCACCACATCGTTCATTGTCAGCCACGTTCTGTACACACGAACCATAGACGTCAAACAAGCAGCGAGTGACGATTGGAGAATTAGAAGCAACGACATCCAGAACAGTATCTCCATAATCGAGTTCTAAAAATGCATCTCATTAAGTGGACAGGGTAGACATTTGGGAGATACAAGCAAGCAGGAAGCTTTCTTTCTACTGTAGAAGTACTATTGTCACGCAAATTCGGGCTGCATTCAGTCATACAGGGGGGCCAAAAAAAAGACTTTTTTCTTCCTTGACTTTCGAGGCGCTATAAGTTACACTTTATTAAATTCTTATCGGACATTTCTACCACCATATTAAAGAGCATATTAAATACTATCATGATACTCCGCCACAGCCTTCTGGAGGAGCGCCATCGAGAGATTCTGCCACGCGACCGTCAGTGGGTGCGTGAGTTCAGCGAGATCGTTGATTTCTCCGCCACTGTAGACCACCCTATTGAACTCCGCCCGAACCAGGTAATTGAGGGGGTTTAGGTCAGGTACCTGCTTAGATATTCCACCTTCTTCAGGTACTCAACGCCCTTCCATTACAAGTAGGCAAGAGTTTCTCCAACGCCCTTCGATTTCATGTGGTGGCACTCAATGCTGTAGCAGTACAAAGGTACGGGCGACGACATGTGAGGAGGATATTCTTCACGAGTTGCTCAATGTAACCGCCAGCGCTCACCTTTAGTCCGGGAGCCCACGAAGAAAATATCGGTCTATATTCCAGGTACGTCCGGTCCCGCCTTGGCGACTGAGGTGAAGATGATGTCCTAGACCGTAGCGACGTTGACGGAGCTGCTCGATGATGGAGGTTTCCAGATCGAGAGTACTGCTCTCCAGGTAGCTATTTATGGGTGACTCCATACTAGAAGTTTCGCAGCTGTTCGGAGGTGACATGAATTCCGAAGGCCTTCCAGTCAGGTTGCGGCTGGAGATGACTTCATATTTTGGTGTACATGAAGGTGATGGGCGAGAGCCAGCTCCTGCTTATAGAGGAACATCTTGGGTATCTTCCGCCCTGGTACTCGTATCCACGTCTCTGTCTGGGCAGCGAAAACTTTGCTGATATGTGACTCGGTCGAAATGTCTTTTTTTTGCCCCCCCCCTGTATACATGAAACCTGCATATTGATAGTGATCGAGCGCTGCCTAACAATCTAATCTCACACGAAGCACGCTTAGATCGCGTCATACCTCGTAACTAGACGGATTTAGTCGCACGACTGCGACAGCGCGCACTCCACACTCAATTGATGGCTGTTATAGCCATCGAAAAAGCTCTGTTTCAAAACCTGTCTAATTAGCGATTACTACCGTCTAACGATAAGTGGTGAAGCACAGCGGCTCGGTGCTAGCCTAACCTCTACCAATTCTGGACACTGGCAGGCGACCACAAGTGGTCGATAACAGAACTGCGCCAAACGACGCACCCTGAAACGCCCCGGGGTGGCGGAAAAACAAAACTGTATTTCGCCCATATCGCGATTGCTTCACTCAGCCGCTGGTTCACTCAGAGTCATCTGTAAGAGCAAGTATATGGGCCGCTACAGGCCGATATACTTGCTCTTACAGATGACTCTAGCATTGAGCTACTCAGCAGCCTTGAATACGAGCTCTACCAAGCTTACGGTGCTGAGGGAACGAATTTGTGTGATGTAGGTGTGATTCGGTCGAACACTTTGTACTGACACCTAATGGATCACCGCACATCAACTTGTGTCTCTAACTGCCAGCTCACCTTTGCTTTACTCTCGAAATCGTCATTGAAAGTTGCTGTCAATGATACGAATGAGAGCACACCGCACAATGCCTCCCAAAAGTCGGCACGGACTTCTAATGTGTATAGATATGCCCCTGCAAACAAACTTATTGACTTCACTGTTTATCAACAAATATGTGTAATGGATTTGCTTCCCCAAACTAAAACACGGGTATGGCAGGCTACTATCTAGTCGGCCTCTGCCTCTCAAGCTACTACTTTTTTTGTCCTTTAACGCCACCATACTTTTACTTTAGCGACTTCGTTTGTATGTATTTTGAGCGATGACAGCAGCAAAAATTTACTGGACCGACGATCCAAAAGAAGACGCCCGCTTAGGCAAGGCATGCCCTAGTAGGGCCGCGTTTGCTTCGGAGAATCACAAAGGATAAAAGGACAACGTCTTCGCTGTTGATCAATCCCTTTTTGGGATGCGGCACGCATTCTACTTCCATTCAATAAATAGCTTATTGAATGCGATGTGGCCAATACAATGACTTGCTGGGGATCACCGTGTACAATCAGTGTTGCCTAATCTCCTGGACGAATCTGGTACCAATTCACCTGCCCTCAGAAAATCAGAGTCGAGCGTGTCTATGGTGTGCTGCTGCCCGTCCACAGTTGGCACTTAGCCTTGAGAAACTTTTTCAGAATTTGCAGTTGGGTTCCGGTGCATTCCAGGTCCCTAGAAAAAGTGAGCTAAGGTCAGAAAGGGGTGCAGTGATAAGGAAAGTAGCGAGACATGCAGGGGGGAGGGGGGGGTGGTGTGTCCGAGTTTGTTTTAGGGGAGGTACTTGTTAATGCAGTTCTCAGATACGCCATTGCCTCGGGAAAATCAGCCGAGGTTGAGCAGAGAGTTGCTAATGTGATCAACGCCTCTGACGAGAAAAATCGATACTATTGAATCAACATATTAGGAAGATATCTGTGAATCAGGTGCGTGAAGACTACATAATTGATTGGGCAAGTTGGAGTAGTTTGTATCAGAAGCGAAGCAGAATGATCGATAAGGTCTGGTATATCTAGAACTAGGACACGGTTGAAGGCCGCTCCATCTCCTACTGTGACTGGTCCGAACTTGGCCTGAGTAGGTGGCAGCACCAAGTGGCGCTGCTCCTCTTGAGAGGTTCTGCATCGGATGTGAGCATTTTTCAATACTGTCAATGATTTTGTTCTACATCCTGTAGCCTCCAAACAGTACTGGGCCTGCTCTTCATACTCGGAGTCGGAATAATGTTGATCAAACTTCAAACAGATAGAGGGAATTGCTGGACATACCAATAGTATTAGTTCGACTCATCCGGAAACAAGTAAGCCGCGTTGAAGCCCGAGTGGTGTCATCAGAAATTGCGCAGTTAGCATGGCCATGCCGACTCCATTATTCTAATACCTTGCTAGTCTTTATTCGTAATCACCAGGGCTGAGCTGTGAGAACAGGAAACTTGGGATGCGGGCCTCTTGCCGATGGTATCACTTACATTTCAGCAACTAAGGGCGCTTCAAATCTCGCCAGCTTTGTGATTTTTCCATTCACTTTCGAATTAAGGAGTAAGGCTGTTGGCTGGCACAGAAATGCCGCAGAACGAAGAAGGAACGAGCCATCAAAATAAAAAAGTCTAGAAAAATTTGAAGCGTTCGCCTGAAGGAAGACAAGAGGGTTACAAACGTACTTACCAAGTGCAAGTGTAGCAAGAAAGAGACAAACTGTGAGAACCATTACAAGCACGTCTCGTATCAGAAGGTTCCGTTGATACTTAGCCGTCAACAATCAGGTATATTTTTTGGCGTTATGAGGGACACAAGTAATAGCATCATGCATAAAAAGCCCAGTTGATTGCTGCTCGCTCCCGCGAACGCGAGAATAATAAAGCTTCTGAAGTCCGTCGTCACATTTTCATTCTTTGAGAATCCATAAAATTGCCCATTGAATGAACAATTGGACCTGGCAAACTCATACTTCTAAGGGCATCTAGAGCCTATTTTATCTAATACTACTACATCATCTGCTGCGCAACATAACCGATAGTCCACCCATGAAATACTCTACAAAGTCACCGTTCTAAGCATGAGATTTCAAAAAATCCTCAAATAGAAATTGAGGTACAGTAATCAAACACCAGCCTGTCATGTCAACACCCCCGGAAATTAAACTGAAAAATCCCACGTTTTTTTGTTCTTCTTTGGAAGTTGGAGTCTGACTGACAACTCCAGGAAGTGGTAGTTCCACGTCATTTTTTCTCGCTGCGTCTTTTTTTGTTGAGAAAGACTGCCGCATCAATGCGACCCGTTTGCCTTCCCAAGGCTATGGCGAGAGACAACTTCATTAGGCTGCTTTATTACTTGGCGGCAGCGTAGCCGTACGCTAGAAGCGCTAACGGCTGACGCTGCCGCCAAGTATAAACCAGGCGATTAACTTGTCATTAACATGCAATCCACCTGCCAAGGTTGCATGAATGGCTGCAGATGACAATATTTAGGCTGCGTTCGTTGAATATCTTACAAACTACTTCGTTATTCGTTCTCATCAGTGATTAAAAGTTGAAAAGGTCAATAAACAGAAGTTAAATAACTTCACTAACACATAAAGTGTGTTCCAATATTGAAGTTCATTTTTAGTGCTATCAAAGGAGTTTTGGGGTTTTGGCGCCTCCTTTGTGGGGGAACAAAAAAAATTTTGCTTACTGAGAGGTTTTTTTGGCAGTATAGTGGTCAGAGATGTCGTGAGAATGTCCCCTTATCTTTACTTATCAACTGATAAAATTGCTTGTCACCCGTCATCAATGTCGCTATCACTAAAACTCCATAATTTCGTGGTGAAGAGGCTTCAGCATTTGACTGAGCAACAACTGCATCGTTTTCTATCAGACCCTATCAGTTGTCATTTCCTGTCACCCGCCGTCGCCCCCCCCCCCCCCTCTCCACCTTCTCTTAAACATCCACTGCTTGATAACAGCCTAACTGATGCTATGTCCCGCGTTATGAGTATGTTGTCCTTTCCACTCTAACTCCCTTTATCAGCGGCTAGCAGTTCTTGTCACCCACATATTCCTGTGCCATAACCTATATCATACCTTGAAAAAACGCCCCAGTGTTCCAGTCGGACCGTCCCTCTGCTTCCTTCTACTTGGCGCAGCTGGCAATCGGTCTGAACACCCGCGAGCGGTGAAGGAAGCAGATGGGCAGGGCGCCAGTGTCCCCCCCCCCTCCTCGTCGGCCCGCGGCCCCACCCCTATCCCGCCCCCGCTGAAAAGCTACGACGTTCCAGCTGCCACGCCAGCAGCTCGTGCAATGGCTCGGAGTGTACCGAATGGTTGTCTTATATAGCGGAGGCCGATATCACGATCAAAACATTGGATTGATACTTCCGCACCGATTTGCCTGTTTGCCTAGCGGTCGTTTGTTCGCCCTCCAGCGAACTCGAACCCGTGAAGCATTTTGCGGACGGACAGACATACATACATACATACCGACAAACCGACACACAAAGTTAGTGGCTTTATAGAATAGAAGGATTTCCTATTTGAGGACATTTTTGAAAACCTCATGTAAACGGGATTTTGTAATATCTATGGGCGGAACTATCATTATGTGGAGCAGCGTATATTCCATCCGCAAGGGAAAGAATGGGTTGGTGCCCGTCCAGAGTAACTAATTGGAATGGATGAATCTTCTTGAACCATTCGCTAATGCTCGCTTCACATCCGGTGAGCACGTTTCGGGAAAACGTGCGATTCTATCATATTCACGCGCAGCGGGATGTGCTGGTTAACACGTTCCGGACCGCGTGACACACATGGTTTGTCACGAATTTGTCTCTGTGTACTGTTTTATCCGATTAACTTGACTGTCTTTCATGTTTTGATGGTGCCAAAACACATTTCCGATTACGGAAGTTCTTGTTCTGCATGAACAGTTGAGAAGGGGTAGGAAATTTCCGATGAAACTGAAGAAAAACGATGAAATGGTCCAGAGATTCGCGCAGTACGGTGGTCCGCAATGTGTTAAACACACTAACTCTAGCCAGGCAAAGCTGGTGCCATTTCGCTGGCCCAGAGAGATGGCCTGGACAACCCAGGAGGGATCTGATCACGATCAAGCTCCCATTGCCCAAGCCGCTGACAACTGCCTCAATTAGAGCAGCTGAGAAAGGTGTTGCGCTTAAACTGTACCATTGCGAATTTCTTGTTGCTTTGCATAAGGCCAAACAACTATAATGCTTAGCATGGGGGCGAGGGGGGCAGGCCGGCGGAGGGAGTGGGGAAAGGTTCGGCGCAACGCCACCCTTTTTTTGTTTCGGCAAGCGACAAAGATATATCATATCAATCAACAACTTGTCACTCACCCTCTTCAGCAATCGGTGGAGAAGGTCTGGAAGGTGCGCTAAACTCACCCATCACAGCAGCGAACGAGACTTCAACGCTGCTTTCATAAGCGCCCACCAGCAACCAGCAGCGTTTCGAGCGGTCAGCGAATACGAAAGTATAGATGCGATCTGGTAACCAGCCGCGTAAAGGAGTGGAAAGTATGGGGAGACAGGAGAATAACTGCTGGCTACCCTCCCACTTCACCATATTCTCCACTCC